AGCGAGTATTAATTTTTAATAATTATTATATTTAAATCTCGATAATTAATATAAAAATAAAGCTCTCTATTCTTTTTAAGAATAAAAAGAATTAATACTTCGACTAAAAAAGTCGAGTAATAAATTTAATTTTTCTAAAGAAAATTCTTTAAATAGCGTTATAGCTTTATTAATTTCGTTTAAAATAGATTATATAAAAAACTATATAGCGACTTTTTATTACTTTTAATTTTAATAATATAATTTCTCTATTTAAATATAAATAAGATCTCTACTTTTTTATTAGAAAAAATATTATTAAATTCTAATAACTTCTAAAGAAGTTTTAGATTACGCTTATTTTTTAATTCGCTTCGCGCTATCGCGATATATATAATTATAAATATATTTAATTTCTATTTAATAATTTAAATAAGTTTAATTAATTCTTTAATTTATAATTTATTAGCGTTAACTTTAAACTACTATTACTTCGCTATTAAATTTAATAATACTTATAATTAATTTAGCTTAAATATATTTAATATAATATTAAAATCTTTTTAATTAATAATATAAAAGAGTATATTATACTCTTTATTTTAATTTTAGCTATTTATTAATTAATGATTTAACTAATACGCGTTATAATAATATATACTTTAACTACTTAACATTTTTAATTATAATAAAATAATATTATAAGATTTTAAATCTTATTAGATTATAAACTTTTATAAAATTAAATTAATATATACTTTAATATCGAGTAAAGTAATAAATTATCTCTATTCATTTTAAAGCTTTATTTACTTCTTTATAAAAATAGAAGAAATTATCTCTATTAATTATTATTCTTATCTCACTTCTAAGGCGATTATAAAGTCTAATCTTTTTTTATTAATATTATATTAATATTAATAATAGATAATTTATCGAGATCTAAATATTTAGATATTTAATAATTTTATTTATTATAATAAAAATAATTATTCTTCTTATAATTAGAGTTAAAGAATTCGACTTTATATTTTATATTATTCTCTTAAATACGCGCTACTTTAATATTATTATTTAAAATTAATTTAGACTTCGAAATTCGCTTCTTTAAGAGCTTATTCTTAATAAATTCTCTCGAAGATTTTAAATAAGAATTATCGCTAAACTATACGCGTTTTAAAATCTTTTTCTATATAATAATTTAAATAAGAATTTCTTCTTATTATCTTAATATATTATTAATATTTAAAATCTTATTCTTAAACTCTAATTTAAGCTTAGCTAAGAAGAAATTAGCTTAATACTTTTTAGAAAATAAGAGTAAATAAACCTTTAGCTTCTTTAGATAGATCTTAAAAATAGATATCTTTTAATTAAAGCGGTATTTAATTTCCTCTTATTTTTTATAAATAAGAAGATAATAATTTATTAAGTCTATAACTAAATTAAATAGAAACTACTTAAAGAATTTAAAGGTTATACTTCTTAAATTATAGATTTAATAGTATTTATACTATTAAATATTAAGATCGTCTTTTAAAAATTATATATAATAAATAATTCTAATTTAATTAATAATAAAATACTTAGAATTTATAAGAAATTTAATTTCGACTTCGCGAAATTAGCGTAGATACTCTCTCTTATTAATACTCTTATAAGAATATATTCTTTTAAAGCGAAGTATTTTTATTTTAATTAATATATTTACTAAAGACGCGATAGTAATTAGCGTAGATAGATCTCTATTAATTATAAATAATAAGCTAATATTATAAAGCTCGCGATTATAGGCCTCTAATATAATTAACTCTTATTCTTATTTTAAATAACGATTTTTAACTCTAATAATCGTAAGACGTTATTTTATAATAAGAATTTTTATTAATAAGAAACTTTCGAATTAGTTATTAGCGCTATAACGATTATTAATATTATCTTTATTATCTATTATATAATTTAGAAATAAATTCGATATTATAATAATAATAGATCTTTTTCTTTAAAAAATAGAGAGATTAGAATTATAAAGATATAATTTATTAGCGATTAATTAGCGAATATAGATTATAAAAGATATAGAGTCGTTATAAAGTTTAATAATATATTTAATAATAGAATTAATCTTTAAAAAATATTAAAACTTCGAGATATATAAAGTAGATCTATATTCGCTAAGCTTTTAAATATATAAGATATATTATTAAAACTAGATTCTAAAAGGGACCCTAATGTAATATATATAATATTAAAGTTTTAACGTAAGTAGCGTTAAGGCCTATAATAGTATCAGGCCTAACATTTATACTCTTCTTCTTTTACTATTAAAAGCGCTTAATAATATTCTTCTTCTTAATACGCGTATTAATAAAACTTAATTATTATAAAGGTGATATTTTTATTCGCGAAATCTCTATAGTAATAGAAGAAGAAGAAGAAGAAGAAGAAGGAGAAGAGATATTAATTAATTACTACTATAAATAGTTATTGAAATATTAAGATAATATAAAAGAATATATAGACGAAGAAGAAGGCTAATAAGAAGAAAGCTAATAAGAAAGAGATTAATAGAACTATTATAAGTATAATAGCTAATTTTCTTTATTAGCTATACTCGCTATAGACTTTATACTCTTTAATAGATTAAGCTTTATTTATTATTTTATTATAGTCTTTATTTACTTTATTAAAATTATCTTCTTCTTCTTCTAATTATTATTATTAACGCTAGAGTTTATATTTATAAAGACTTTATATATAAATAGAGAAGGTTAATATTAAGTAATTTAATTATCTTAAATAATAATAGTCTATCTCTCTCTTATTATAGCGTTTATCTTATAATACTTATTATTTTTATTAATTTAATAGATACTCTTATATTTATAACTTATAATCTAATATTTTTATCTAATAATTAATTACTTTAGATAATTATTAAGAGTTTTCTATTAATCGTAAATAATAGTATATTAATCTTTAAGATTATTAGTTCTTATTTAATAATAAAAAAGAAACTATATAAGCTCGTCTACGGTCTAAATATCTTTTTTAAAATTAATACGATTAATATAGATAAGCTTTATATTAAGAATATACTTAGAACGCTTTTATTACTCGACTATAGTAATAAACTTAACTCGTTATTCTTATTATTTAATAGATATAATATCTAAAGTAAAGTTCTAACGAGTTCTCTTAAAATAAGTAGATTTCGTTTATTCTTAAATCTTATTAAGATTAATATTTAAGATATAAATATCGAAGCTTTCTTTAATATATAGATCTCTAATCTTATTAAATTACTTAATAAATATTTATAATTTATTTTATATTCTTAATATAGCCCTTATAGAGTACTTATAGAATTTATTTCTTATATTCTTATCTCTCTTTATTATTATAAGAGTTTAAGATAAATAAGACTTTCTAAGTTCTATCTTATTTAGAAACTCTTTAATTATTATTCTAGCACCTCTTTATATAGCTATTTATTCTTTTTTCTCGCGATAAATAATAATAGTATAAATCTCTTACTTATTATTAAGAAATTATTATAATTTAACTCATATATATAATATAATATAAAAGATGTTAATTATCTATGTGATTTATAAATATATATATATACGGTGTTAAGCCTACGCTAGTGGCCCTATAAGTGTCTTTAAGATATCTTATAATACTTATAGCGAACGATAGTAGTATACTATTCTTTAAGCTTCTTCTTATATTATAAAGTCTTTACCTCGATCTTTAGATAAGCTATATATTTCTTCTACTCTTTATAATATATAACCTTCTTCTTTTTATAACGTTTAATAGCTTCTTTCTACTTTTTTAAGATTACTCTATCGACTATAGCTTTAATCTTTATTTAAATAACTTAAATTTTCTTTTATTTCTTCTTCTACTAGACTATAGTAATAATAATATCGTCTTACTTATTCGCGAAAGAGACTCGCTTAGAGAAGAGATAATAATAAGATTTAGAGAGTTTCTAATTATTAATAGTCGTCTTAACTATCTAACGAGAATTAATAATATTTTAAGATATTATAATACTACTATATTTGTATTTAGATTATATAAAAGCTTTAAAAATATAAAGTAAACTAATATAAGAGTAATAAGTACGTTCTCTATAATTTTTTATGAATGGCGCTAATAAAAAGTCGGAGGCGGAGCTGGATTAGCTTTATTAAGTATTCTTATTTAATTTGCAATTTATAAAGGTAGTTTTGAAGGTTTCCGCGCGAGCAGAACCGACTGGCGGCCATCTCGACGGGTCTCTTACAAATTTACAAGTTTCACACTAGAAGCACATAAAGAACAGCAAGATTCCTCATAATGTACTCATTCTTGAAAGTTGTCTGAGTTGGAAAGTTGGATGAGTTGGGCACAAACAAGTCAATCATATATGTGCAGGCTAGCAGTTCGACACCACCGACACCCGTACGGCCAAAGCTTCCAGTATGGCAGTACTCACGGGCATGGTGTCATCTCCCTTCAATATGGCTTTCGTATGGAGGATTGGCCCTGCTTCTATTGACCTCGAACCCCAGTGCCCAATTCACCATGGCGATGGGTTTGAGTCGTATCGCAGGTCTCGGTCGGCTTTCTTTCGTTTGCATTTCGTGTTTATTCCTGCCTTACTCAAAAGGTCGAGCTGACTAAAAGCAATCCTACCGAGACGTGTCAAGTTTTCCCCGGTCTCAAGCGTGGGCCCTCAGCCAGCTGGGTGTCATGCATCATGATGAGATTGTAGTACTCTTCCCATTCGGAACCTTACATCGCTTTTAACAATACTCTCCCAATTGGTGTAGGACTAAGGCCTAAAGCAGTTCTCCTTATTCGCTTCTATATACAAATCGTGTCATACTTTTGAAAGAAGGTTGGTTGGCCGTTTCCAATTGCTATTTTATGAATCTCCTTCATGAGACCAACAGCTGCCTCTCCACGAGTCCCCAAGTCGGCACCCGAAGTGTCAGATTCCTCTCATCCAACCTCCTCTGCCTCTCCTACGCCGTGACGAACTCCATCACCGTCTTTTGCACCGTCTCCCAGCCTACCGGCTCCGACTTCAGTCCTCCTACGCCAAGCACATCTCCAGCTTCTGCCAGTGCAGTCCAGGCAACTCCCATCCACCTGACAGGGTTCCAGTCAACCCTTCTGGTTCCATCAGATTTAAGAAATGCGTCTTTGATGAGAGCTTCGAACGACTCTACGTCCGAGACCCGCGGCAGCTGTATCCTGACTCGTGCCTCTCCGGATGATTGCATGCAGACGTCCTGGATCTCGAATTCCCATGGTCTGTATCTTCGGACGGGGTGGATGCGAGGAACCTTTCGACGCGCCTGCGTTGCTGCTCCAGGCCTGGCTCTTCGAACCCTCGGCCTGGTATTCCGAGCCCTTTGCTACTTCCAGGTCCATCACGAGGATCGATCTTCGGGCTAATCTCGCGGATGAGATACTGTCTTCCGTGAGTTTCTGGCTTGTCTTCGGGTGCCAGGAGAAGAGTCCAGCGATAATCCAGCACTCCACAACGACGCTTGGCAGGTGGCAGTGCGTCCAGCGCGATGTAAAGAACGAAGCCATTGGGCGGTAATGGTGGCGGTGGCGGGTCAAGCTGGTCATACTTTCTCTTCTTGGCTGATGGATTCCTTGATGGGGGATTGGGCGTTGCTAAGGTTGGCATTGCCGCTGCATGATACAAAACCAAAGAGAGAGCATCATCATTTGCGAACGAGCATTCTATTCCCGGAATGCAATGATTGTCATGCACAGTCGGATACGTAAGCACAAAGACACCTGATTCATCAAAAATCATTCGCAGATGCTTGCCTGGCCGGTCAACATCCCCATCCCAGATAGCGCATGGAATCAAAGCACCAGGTTTGCTATCCACAACAGCAAACGTCCCAGAAACCAACCCTTTCCCATTCGCACAATATCTCACTCCAACAATTTCCCACCGCAACAACTCCAGACAGAAACGCCAAGCGTCGCATCGCTTCGAATCGAATCAAAGCGAGCCGTTCTCGACCTGATCTCTGCCGGCCACAAGGGCTCGTTCCCATCCGGTACATTCAGAAAGAGCGACCGAGTTAAGAAAAGGGAAAAAGGGCCGGCGCTTGGGGGGGGGGGAAGGGGGGCAATTCCTCCAATGGCTCAACATGTTGCAAAAGCACAAGGGTGACATGCTGTTTCAACGAAGATTATTCCGGAGACGAAGTGAATACGTCTAAGGAACAAATCCAGGCACCTACACATCCCACCGTCTTTTCCGGAATGGGCACGGAGGAGGTGTTGGCGGCGCTCTTCCCCGGTAGCGAGGCCGTGTACTTTGGCCGACACGTTTTTCATAGGCCGTTGTGCTGTTGATTGGTCCGGGGTCGGTACAGTCAGAGGGTGTGCGTCTTGTAGGGTACTGCCTTCTGTATTGTGCAAAATTCAAAGGTCTGAGAAAAAGAGGACGTGATCAGAAATCGGGCAGAACTGCTGAAGAAAAAGCACCAAATGGTCCCAGCGTGGTATAGTTGAAATACTGGATAGCTATATAGAAGGGATGAATTTGCTTGATTAATCTATCTAGGATTCTAGCCTATATTTATAAATACGTAGAATAAAGAGACCTATTACGTATATTTCGTATATTTCATAGAGAATAAGAAATATACATTTTATTTCTTCTATTAAAATAAAAATAGTAGTATAATCGAAGACGATTATACTTATTACTATTTTCGTCTAAAAATTCTTTAAATCCTTTATTTAATACTCTCTCTAATTTAAGAATCTTTAATCTTTATAAATTAGCTTTTTATTTATAGCTCGATCTATATACTTATTCTTCTAATTAGATCTTAAAGTCGAGGTCTTAATAATTCTTTTATTAGTATATTAGCAAGGTTATTCTTAATATTTACTCTTATTACTATAATTTCTTCTAATATAATCTTCTCTCAAATAAAGTAATATCTTATAGCGATATATTTTATACGTATATAAAATTTAAGATTCTTTACTAATTTCATAGTCGAATTATTATTAATTATTAATAAAATAATTAGATTACTAAATATTAATAGTTAGAATTCTTAAATAAGATTATATATTCAAATAGCTTTCTTAATTACTTTACTTATAGCTATATATTTCGCTTTATAGCTAAATAAAACGACTATAGATTAATATTTAAAGTTTTAAGAGATTAAGCTTTCTTTAAGAGTAAATATTTAATCTTCTATAAAGCGTAATATATTTAGATAATTTCTTTAATTACTATTAATTATTTCTTTAACACTTTTCTTTAATCGAGTTAAGAATATTAATTCTAAATATTTAAAGTCTTTTAGATAAGCGTATAGTCGATATAGCTCTTTTATATAATCGTCGAATAGATTTAATATATATTTAATAACTTTACTTATTACGAAGGAGATATCTAATCTTAAGACTATTACGAGATAATTTATAGATTTGACTATCGTCTAATAAAGTCTAATAAAGTCTTAAGAGACTATTTAATTTTTATTAGCTATGAGTTTATTAATAGAATCTATAGAAGTATTAATAGAATTAATATCGTTAAGCGAAAAATAATTAAGAATTTATTAAATAAAGCTAGCTTAATATAAGTATATTCTCTTAAGACGTATATAAATATATAGTTTTAAGTAGTAAGCGTATTACTCTAGATCTATTATTTTAAACTTCTTTAATATTATCTTCTTAAATTCGATAATATTATTTTCATTTTCTCTAAAGATGTTAATATTATCGATATAGATAGTGAGGAAGAGATTAGAATTATATATAAAGATTAAGCTATCGAAGTTTAATATCTTTTAATTCTTAGTCGTAAGAAAAGTCTTAAAATATAGATATTACTATCTTAGTAATTACTTTAAGTCGTATAAAATCTTTATAAGTCTAAGAACTTTATTATTCTTTTCGAGAAATCTATTAAACGATTTTATATAAATTATCTTATCGACTTCTTTATATAGGAAGATCGTTTTAATATTTATTTAATAATATTTTTATTCTAGTATAGCTTATAGTGTAAATAGAATTTTATATAATAATTACTTAATTACTAATATAAAGATTTTATCAAAATCGACTTTATATATTTATTCGAAGTCTTATATTATAAATCTTACTTTATATTTAATAATAAATCTATTAACCTTAAGTTTTTATCGAAATACTTATCTATTTAATAGCACATACTAATTCTTTAGTCGATTAACGACTTCTCACATTTTATTTTTTAAAAGATTATTATACTCGTCTTATATAATGTTAATCTACTTATTTATATTCTATCTTTAAAATACTTCTTCTCTATTACGAGATTTAGAGTTTAAAATTATTTCTATTAAGTATATAACGTAACCCTTTATTTTATTATAATTAGAGTGCTTTTTATTAGATTCTCTAGAGATATTTTTATTACTATTAAGATTAAGAGAAGAGATTTATCTTAATTACTTTCTTACTTCGCGAAAGATTTCTAATTCTAATTAATAGAAGTAGATCTATTATTCGAGGTTTAGAAGATATAATTATTTATTTTTATCTTTATTATCGCTAAGCTCTTTATTATAATTACTAGACGCGACGTTATTTATAAAGTATTAAAAGTCTTTTATATTTTCTTTATCGAAGTTATTATTAATAATATTTAAAGAATATTCGAAGTCTTCTTACTTAGAACTTTATAGACTTATTTTCCTTTTATAAAAATATTATCTAAAATATTATTTAGAATTTTTATTATTCTCTTAATTCGAGTTAATATAAGATTAATTTTAATTACTCGAATTTCCCACTTAATTCGAATTATCTTTATAGAAATATTATTCGAAATATTACTCGAAATTGTAATATTAATTTTAATTACTTAAATTTTTCGCTTAATTCGAATTATCTTCGTAGGAATATTACTCGAAATATTATTCGAAATTTTTATTACCTTCGTAATTCGAATTATTATTACGACGGAGATAATTAAAAAGATCTTCATTTAAATTATTAATATTATTATTAAACTTAGATTCTTTATTAGCTAGCCTTTTTCTTAGATTTCTTCTATTTTTTAATTTATTTTTAATTCTTCTTTTCTTATTTCTAGTTAGATCTTATTATATCTTTTTATATAAGAGACGATATTATTTCTTAATATTATTTTTAAGATAATATATATATCTATATCTAATAATTTTAAAAGTCTATCTAGTATAATAGTTATATAAAAATTCATTATTACATATATCTAAGGCTTCTCTAAAATACGATTAACTTCGTTTTATATATTCGTAATACTTTTCTTTTATAGAATCTTTCTATTCCGCTTAGTTTGATTTCTAGGCCTAGATTTCATTACCGTCGATATAGAAGTTATAGTTATAGTCTTTCCTTCTTTATCTTTATGAAATTAGCTGAAACTAGCTTTATCTTATATCTTAAAGAGTTTATAAGAGAAAAAAGAGTATCTCTTCTTTCGATTCTTCTTAATTCTTTTAATGATTAAATTTATTAATATTACGATTTAGTCTAATTTAACTATTTTACTATTTATAATTATAGAATTTACTAGTCTCTTATCTTAGTTAATATTTTCGATATTTTCGATCTCTTTAACTTCGTTAAAGTCGAAATCTAATATATTCGATAGTATATAGATAATTTCTTTTTTTATAATAATATTAAAGAACTCTTTAGCTTAAGTAATAATTTAAAAATTACGCTATTATTAAAGATAGTTTATCTATCCTCGAAGGATCTAAAGATTTACTTTAATATCTTCGATACTAAGAGAGAGTACTTTACCGCTTTAACTATTTATAATAATTATAATTATTTAAAAGAAAGATATATAATTATAATAATAAGATATTAAATTTAAGTATTAAATAATAATATATTTTAATAATAAATAAAGTAATTCTATAATACTAGAATTTAAATCTAATTCTTATAAAAATTGAAAGTATTAGCGATTTAGACTTATAACTAATTAAAATATTAAATAGCTATATAAAAGAAATAAATTTACTTAATTAATCTATCTAGGATTTTAGTCTATATTTATAAATACGTAGAATAAAGAGATCTATTATATATATTCTATACATTTTATAGAGAGTAAGAAATATATATCTTATTCCTTCTATTAAGACGAAAATAGTAGTATAACCGAAGATAGTTATACTTGTTACTATTTTCGTCTGAAGGTTCTTTGAGTCCTTTGTTTAACAGGTGTCTTCATTTGCAAAATGCATGCTGTGTTGTTGTCCATATCGTTTCTATGAAGCTTCCCTGCCCTGGGGTATCTAACAAAAGAAAAGCGAAATCGTTAAAGGGGTATCACTTCCAATGACCCGCTAAATCGCAGCATAAAAGAGCAGCCACCATGCCATAAGTGATACAATGTTGAAATGAAGTATGTCCCATACGCTCACCCGCATAGGCAGCCACATCGAAAATAGAAGCTCTCAAGTCATGCCCCTTCCCTTCCCACCTCATTCAGCCACTTTCGCACTCCCTCTCTCAGAGTACTGTCCGCGGGCAAATTCTCTCTTCCCCTGTGCGACCCCCCAACATTCTTCTCAACGCGGGATCGGGAAGACAGCTCGGCACTGACGCTTTTGGCCACTTGCTCCAGGGCACCCAAAACCATCTTCTTGC